GGATAACCGCTTGATAGCGATCGCCTCGAGCAGTTTCCTTTCCAATGGACTATCCTTCGAGCGGTGCAAAACCGTGACTTTAAGGCGAGGAGGGGTTTCGTGTTGGTGAAACATCGTGCGATGCCGCGAAAATCCACTTTTGGGGTAAGATGAGGGATTCCGCAAGGCTCGCACGTGTTCGTCCATCCTTATATATAAGGGTCGCATTGTTTCACCAACATATCTTCGACTGCATCCTTCGCACGTGACCAAGTAGACTGTCCCGCGTAGCTGGCAGATTTTGTTAATGCTCGTAATGAGTCTGTGACAACAGGAGTATTGTGATGATAGGTTATGTTGTAGGGAGTGTGGAGAGAGATAGGATGAACGGGATGATTGGTTAGCAGCTTCTCAGATGTTTCGGGTGGCGACTAACTAGGTTGACTGAATGTGAGACGTACTTGATATGTGTGATTGAACTTTTCTTTGCTTACTTCTTTCGTGTACCCATATGGTTCCAAGATCTTCGCTATTCTCCGATCCACCTCTTCTGATTCTCTTGTGCATGTCCGTACCTTCGTAGCGATAAGGTTTCTTATCACGTTAGCCTTCATGTAAAGTGGATGCGCACTTCGAGAATGCAGAAGGATATTCTTTGACATCGGTTTCTTGTACCATTCGATCTCCTTAGTGCCATGGTTATTCGGACCTTCGTGTTAAGGAATGGGAGAAAGCCGCGTTCGTCTGGATGTTCCACCGTGAAACGTATGTTCGGGTCACATGAGTTCAAATTCTGAAGCATCGTGCCCATAGCATCGGCGGTGGAACTGACGACGAAGACATCGTCTATGTAGCGCTTGTAAAATACAATTCCAGTGATCAGAGATCTTCTTTCAATCCGATCCAAATAGACGATGGCTAGTAGCGGCGAGATCCTCAATCCCATGGCAAGCCCTCGCTTCTGTGAATAGAACATGCTGCCAAACTGGAAGATGTTACATTTCAATACTGCTAATAAGAGCTCTCGTAAATCTTCCTCCATCAATCCGAATGTGTGTACTTCATTCATGATGTTGTCGCAGCAGTTCCATCACAGAATTTATAGCTTCATTACAGTCCACGTTCGTATACAAAGAAACCGCGTCGAAGCTCGCATACGAAGCATCATCGGGTATCTCACATCGATCCAAAGCTGATATGAATTCTCCTGCGTTAACTAAATGAGCCGCAACATGTTGCAGAAGCGGCGACAGGAGCTTCGTGAGGAACCAGCTCACTCTATCCGAAGGGCCTCCACATGACGATATGATTGGTCTGACTTTGATTGAATCTTCGTCGACGCGTCGTAAGTCCACTTCTTCAGAGAACTTGTGCGTCTTAACCAATGCATAATACGTTGGCACCATCGGATATGTGAGAACAAAACGTCTGGCTGTTTTTCTATCCATAACTTTGCTTAGGATCCGTGTTGTTGTGCGTCGGAGTTCATCAGACACTTTTCCGAAATCTTGCAGAGATGACGTTTCATAAGTCATGCTTATCCGACAGAGACTTCCGACCTAGGCTTTTATCCATTGATTGTGTAAGGACAACGAAGTCTCCACTTTTGTCACTCACACTATATCGAAGGTCGTTTTTGAGGAGCAGGAGTTTCTTCAAACCACGTCTCTCTTGCACAGTCAGGTTGGACGCGTAACTTTGCTGACGTCTCGCTTGCGTAAATTTGCACCAGGTTGAGTTGAGTGATGCCAGTGTGGGCTCCAGAGCTGGAACTGGTTTTGGTGCTGTCACCGATGTTCTTGGAAAAGGTATCGATGCTGCAAACGATGACAGCCTATCCAGGACAGTCGGAGCTGAATTCTCCCTCCATCGAATCTGGTGGGCAAATTTGTGGAAGGCACACTGCACTGAATCCATAACTTCCTGGTTTACAGATGTTGATATAGCAAACGAGGGTCCCAGGTTGAGCAAAGCCTCCATATCTTCATCTACTACGTCCGTTCCGATTACTGTGCAACGTCTCGGTGGAATTGCATCAGGTGAGATGAAATGCTGACTCCGAATATGCACTTGTGATCTGAGGAATGCAATCTTTTCTTGCAGTTTTCTTCTCTCTCGCTCTCGAATTCGTAGGCATAGTACTTGGTTTCTATCAGAAATTGCTCTCCACACACTAGTGTTCAACCTTTCTTGCAGGAAACTCCTTGTCGAGGTGATTCCACGTATGCACTGTGATCTCCGCTGCTTCCTCTCTGCGATGCATGCATCTAACAGTGCGCGTCTCAGCGAAGCAAGACTGGTCGAAACGTGCCTGTTCCGCGTGTATGGGATATGGGAGAGAGCCATTTCGAGAAATTTAGGTAGTAATCCTTGCGCTTTACATTGCAGAAGAAAAGCAATTGATTCATCGTAAACCGTGGCAGCCTGGTGATATGCAATATACTTGACAAGGATAGAAACGTATTCCGGCAAAATTGATGTCTTCGTTGCTGGATTTTCAGATATGATAGAATTGAACTATCCCTGAGCCTCATGGTTAAGATGTCTTCTTCAACAATATTCAATGAGTACTCGATATGAATTTTCATTGGTAAGCTTTCGCTGTGGTAACAGCTTCTTCAGACCTCAAATAAAACAAGCATACATAGTACTTCAATTCCTTACAACAATCAAGCTGATCAAAGTACTAACCAGGCTTTACTTCCCTCTTAACAATAGAGCCGCTAAGGTCTATAATACCATACAATAGAAGCCTACATTCGATGACAATTATAGTTCTCTTGAACAATTAGAGCGCTAGTTATGAATACCATAAATAGAAGGCTACTTCGGATGAGCAATAACATCATTACACTAACGACCTACCCCTGACCGACCTCCAATGCAACTAAAAGTCACTAAGAATGCGACGTGCGTGACAACTGCAAGGACTTCTTTATCAGACCGCTATGCAATCAGTCTCATTGCCTCCATCATCTTACCCCAAAAGTGGATTTTCGCGGCATCGCACGATGTTTCACCAACACGAAACCCCTCCTCGCCTTAAAGTCACGGTTTTGCACCGCTCGAAGGATAGCCCATTGGAAAGGAAACTGCTCGAGGCGATCGCTATCAAGCGGTTATCCCCGAAATAAACAACAGGGACGAGCTGATGGAGGCAATGAGGCTGATTGCATAGCGGTCTGATAAAGAAGTCCTTGCAATTGTCACGCACGTCGCATTCTTAGGGACTTTTAGTTGCACTGGAGGTCGGTCAGGGGTAGGTCGTTAGTATATGATGGTTTTGTCATCGAATGTAGGCTTCTATTGTATGGTATTACAGACCTTAGCGGCTCTATTGTTAAGAGGAAGTAAAGCCTGGTTAGTACTTTAATCAGCTCGATTGTTGTAAGGATTTGAAGTACTATGTATGCTTCTTTTATTTGAGGTCTGAAGAAGCTGTTACCACAGCGAAAGCTTACCAATGAAAATTTCATATCGAGTACTCATTGAATATTGTTGAAGAAGAACATTTTAGAGGGCAAAAAGGTGAAAAGAAATCGGGGTCGTCCATTCTATTTCTGATGCTTACGACCTCTATTTATGCGGGTATTAGCACGTGGATTCTAATTTGCAGGACAAATTCTTGAGAACGAAGATCACACTTTTGACCCTCATAGGATTGAATTCGCTGTGGTTGGATTGATACAGCTATGAGTCCATGTAGTGAAGTGAACGAGCAACGACAGCTTTCTTCCAACTTCATCTACAGATAGAGAAAAAGAAGTGTTTGTCTTGAAAGGGGCATTTTATACTTCCACAACTTCATTTTGATGATTCCTGTCATTTAGCAATTCTTATATTTTTGAGACCTGTGAATTCTTGTGAAGAAAAATGCGAGGTAGAATGAGTGATCCACTCTATTCAGAAATTCGCAGGTATTCACAATGTAGTACAGGCTCCGACAAACGTCTTCGGTGCCCCCACCTAGCCGAACTACGCTTTGAATAAGTTCGTTCAAGTGCGATAGAGACCTCCCTTGAAGGAACGCGCTCTAAAAAAACGGTGATTCGTACGGCTGAAATGATAATGACAGGAGGGTAAATAGCACAAGAATGAAGAAAAATTCCAGTGAAATCAGCCCGGAGTGTTTCATATAGAACCCCACGCTAGCCGTGCTAGTACGTGCGAGGCGAAAAAGGCGTGGTCGGACGAGTTTTCACTTGTTTGCACCAGCTCTTTATCCTCATCGCCTCACTCTCACCACTTGAAAACCGTCCAAAAGCGCCGGAGCCGCCATATCAAAAAGCAAAAAATATAATAAATAAATAACAGAAGTTGGGCGTCACCCTGGCCAGGGGCGGAGCCCTGGTCACATCGTCGAGCCCGCCTTTGAAATTGCTATGGTTCAGGAGCTACTATTGTGGCCATGCAAATCCCTTTAAAAAATTCCAAATTGCGTACAGTTTATATCACCGTGAACTGTCGATTTGCTATCAGCGGTTCCCATCTGAGGCCTTCCCACCGGGTTCGCGGCAAGAGAATCGTAATTCGCTGCGCCAGTGGGCGTTGCGGGCGACGTCGCCCCTGTTCATGACGACGATTTCAGGTGATATTTTAGATGGTGGTATATAGGTCGAGAATAGACAATGTATGACCAAAAATAGACATAAGTGTCTACCATGTCCTTGTTTACATGAAATCCGATGCTCCAATTGATGGGTAGTGCAAATTAAGGAAACGTCGCACCTATTGCCGCGCGCGCAATTTACGATTCTCTTGCCCGTCTCCCCTTCCCACCAGTGGCTGATTCCTTCCTGCATCGATCACTTGCTCGATCACCATTGGTAGAGCAAGGCAGCCGGACGCGAGCTCGTGCCGCGCTGCGCTCTCCACCCCCGACGAATTGCAATGTTACAAACTATATATGAACCAATATATGATACAGTATGCTTTCAGGCGAGTATTCGTGCTTGCGTGTTGAGCTGAGACTAAATCGGGTCTTCTCGTTCTTTCTTCTGCAACTGTACATTCCGTCGTCGATGTTGGTTGGAGTCGCATGGATCTCGTATTGGATTGACTGGAAAAGTACTGCTGCTCGTGTCCCACTGGCTATCGTCACCCTCCTTACGATGATCACCACTTCTCACGGTACTTTTTGATTGTTCTGGAGATTTGATTCGTTCCGAAAACTATAATGTTCTGCATGAGGGTTACCTTTGAGGTTCTACTGGGAGCGGGTTTTTGCAGGTGTAGTTACTTTGCATTTCCACAAGCTTTGAAGTTTTATATTATGATAACTGCTGTTTTATCCGAAGTTCGCGCTTCGAATGTTACCACAAAAATGCTGAGTTATGGGCAAAAGTCAAACATTAGGTGGAGTCGAACACGCACATTACGGTTTACGATATCTCACTTACGGCTGACCGGCTCACCATGTTAAACGTGTGAGTGCTGAGGCAGCATAGGCTACGGCATAAAAGCTGAAAGTGGCCCAGATAACGGATAGCGCACTCGCACGAAAAGCGTGAGTTGCGGGTTCGGCTCCCTCCTGAGCTGGTAATATAGCAAGCTATTGAACAGCACGCACGAACCATTGAATATGAACAGGTAGGGGCATCTAGAGGAAAGGTGTTGATGCCAAATCCATAGAAGTGGTATGCCGCGCCCCAACTACTACATTGTCCCCATCTCCCGAAACTCGGCTAAAGCCAGTTGGCACGATAAATCCCCCAAGACGACTAGGATCAATACTCCTGGCAGGATAGAATTCCGCGACCCTGGGCAGGCGCTGCATAGCGGTTTCCCCGAGGAAGGTGCCCTTATAAGGGCCCTATCAAGCCACAACTTTACGTCCCAAACGCCCGCCACGCCCGCCCGCCCACAAATGGACGCTCGTATTCATTCATTTGCTAAGCAAATTATGAAGCGAAGGGATTGGTATGAAGCGGCCGTGATGCTGCATGCATACATGGGTACACATATGCAGCCGTATCTTCGGTAGCGGTGATTGGTAAGATGCCTACGGGAAACTCGTCCGAAATCGATTTACAAGTCACTGAGAACGGAGGCTTTTTCTTCGCAGGATTTTGACCGTTTCACTCCGTTCTTTCGCCATTTCCCCACTATACAGCGCCCTACTAGCATTTTAGGCTAAGTAGGAAACCATCGTGCCAACTGCCTTCGAGCAAAATTTCACACACAGCCCCTTAGGATCTCAACTTTCCGAACTTGGGTTTTCAGAACATCTCACGTTGATTCGTTTCTCTCAGGGTGTCAGAAATGCAGCTGCAGGGAATTGCACTAAGTATCTTCTTAAATACCTATGATGAAGGAACATTTCACTTGAATATGAAATAATGCATCTTCTATTTTCCAATATTAGAGCATTAAAGTTCTGTCGAATAGGGTGAAATCATAAAAAAGGGTTAGTAGTAGATTGCTTTCAGATTAAGCCAATTGCATCGTCTAGATTAGACCAATTGCACTGCGTCTTGTTGCGGCAAAAATATGTAGTTCCACAGTTTCAGGGGGAAATGATCAATGTAAAGAAAAATAAGCTAAAGATAAAGTCTTCGTTCGGTTTGTGGGATGCGGCACGCATTCTACTTCCATTCAGAATCGTAGTGGCTTATTGAATGCGATGTGGCCTATACAATGACGGGCGCCAGCCGATGTACAAGTCAGTGTTTTATCCTCCCAGCCGAATATGGTACCAATTTACACCGGAGGATAGAAGGCTTGTTGGCCTAGGGCGGGAGTCGACCCGGGATTTGAACCCAGGACCGCGCGAGTGGTAAGCGCGCCACTTGTCACTACACCACCTCCGCCTAAGTGTTCAATATCTACAGTTGGATAATGTATTGCCTGTGCGTACTGTTTGAATTTCAGCGATCAACTCGAATCTGCCGCCAGTCTCATATGCGAAGTCAATCGACATATGGGTTGGAGCCTGTGTCGGTCAGTTCATACCACATATTCGGGAGTTCATTTTGACAAACGTATTTCTTTTCCAATGTTTCTTAGCTCTGGAAACCCCAACGCAATCGCACCCTGACTTGAAAGAAGGGTCCAGCCCTATCAAGGCCCTATCTCAGCAAACTAACGATATAGTCCGTTCTCCGTGGCCCTCGGATTCAGATTCATTCAGGAGTCGCCTAGGCGTTGCTGAGATTTCAAAAGACAATAATCAGGAGGGTAACATTAAGAGCATACATTTTCATTCACAGTACCAGAATAGCTCCCTAAAAAGGTAGAGTCTCCAATCCCAGGCGGCGACGCCCAATAGGTCCTCGTTCCGAAAAGATAGTAGGAACACCGGATGATTCAGGGAAATGGCGAAGGGTACCAGAACAGAGGTATTTCGAGAGGAAGGGGAGGGGGTTGTCATATTCCACAAAATTTTTCCCCAACGGCTGGTTTGGTGTAGAACTCACAACCCACACAGGAAGGCTGATATGAGAGCGAATGGCCCTCACATTTCGAGGTCGCGCCAATTAGTTATCTTCAGAATATTTTTGCTCTCCCATCCCCCCTCCCCACAGTAGGGTCCAGACATATTTTTCATGTCAATCCCGTGAACCATTTTCGTCCATATTGCAGTGTTCATCTTCTTCTCTTTGATCGAGTACGCTGTCGTGAACTATATGGGTATACTGGATGAGCACAGGTTAGCAGTAATTGCAGTACTGTCGAGAAGAACCTCACTTTAACGATTTTTCAGACAAATGCGGAAAGCGGCTTGTAATCGAAGTCGATTGTCGAATGTGATCGACAATCAGATGTGCATGCAATCCGTCGAGCAGATGGCTTCGCCAAGTTCCCTCGTAGGATTCAGCCCACAGGAGAAGAAGGTACGTCTCCAATTTGATTAGATGTGTTCTTGAAAGAGAAACTAGGCACTCGCCTCACTACTTCCTGGACCTCACCATTTGTAAGATTAGTAGTCCGCAGCTGCAGTAGCGAGCTACTTTTTTCCTGTCAAAAGTGCGCAGGTACGGGGCTGGAAGATAGTGATAGATGGCTGCTGTCTCCTCGCTGTTGCACGACCAGCCTCACGCCTAACCATAGCCAAACGCGCTATTTGTCTGTGCCCTCTCACTTCTGGTTATTCTGTGCGTGTTTCACTGAGCGATGTTGGTATCGACGCAAGCCCTGCCCATTGAGAATAGCGCGCGTGAAGTAGTAGCCGTGTGGAGACGGTGTCCAGGTATCGATGCCCTCCAGCCCGGTCCTCGTGCACTTTTGAGGGGCGAAAGGGGCACGCTACTACAGCGGATCTATTCGCCTCGCACATGGCAAGGATGTGCTCAGCCTGCACAGCTTGTATTCAAAGATATGTGTTTCTTTTCCAAAGTGGTATACTTTAGCGCCTTCTACGACGGAAACGTAACAAATCATTCGAGTTGCGCGAAGAAGAAATTGGATTGGTTTATGATGGCATTGAACTCAGCGACATGGGCCAACCACCACGGACAGCCGGCCATGTCGAGGAAGGATGGACGTTCCAGGTATGTTGTGCCATTTGATAGGAGCAGTTCTCAGCGATCCCCTTAGTTTTCAAATATCCACGATAAAATGGGAGAGGTGAGGGAGAACAAGCGCCACGTTGCATCCTCACTCTCATCTGGTCATGGGGCCTTCGAACACTCGTTCCCTTTTGATGCCGGGATCACTCCAAAATATGTATTGGTCGAATGTTTGCGAGCTGACACAGTCCTAGTACACACGTCGGCCTGCATGCCTTTTCTCTTCTATGTATTGGATTGAACTTGAAGGGGAGCACAAGATACTCCTTCAAAAACAGTTCCTGATCAAGCGGTCAGCGAAATTCCTCCGTGTATTCAACTCTGCGCCCGCACTCGCATAGCATGTACTACATCCACCTCTTGAAAGAGCGATATAAAGCGGCCACAGACGCGTGACTCTTGCACACTTTGGCCTACTATCCAGGGCAAGCACCGCAACTCTTAAGCTCGCCTAACTATCGCCAGGCAAAGATTCTCTGCAGATTTTACTACGACGCTGCACACAACAAAACGCATACAACGAAACGCAAATCACCGAGTAAATCACCAATTCGCAATTCACCGTGCTATCTTACAGACTGAAAAGAACAAAGTGTGCAAAAGTCACGCGTCTGTGTTCGCTTTATCTCGCCCTTTTGAGAGGCGGAAAGGGTACAAGCTATGCGAGTGCGGACATACATGTTGAGTGTACGAAGGCATTTCGCTTATCACATGATCACGGGAACTGCCCTTAAGAACGACAGGACAGGATGAGGCTCGAGGCTTCACCTGGAATTGCACTACAGCATTAATGAGGGTCAATCAGCCCTCATTCTTAGAATCTGTTCGAAAAAAGTAAGGCACCATCTGGGTTCTGTCACGTCACGGTTCGCTTTGAAGGCACATTTCGCGTTATAGGCAATGAGGTTCAAAGTGGCATGATAGTATTTGATATGCTCTTTAATATGGTGGTAAAAATGTCCGATCAGAATTCAATAAAGTGTAACTTATAGCGCCTCGAAAGTCAATGAAGAAAAGTGACTTTTTTTGGCCCCCTGTGTAATTGAAGAGCCGGTTAACGTAACTCGTTGTTCACTGGTTTCATCGGTGACATGCTTCACAACATAGACAAAGGTTTTCATCCTCATGACGGGCCTGTCAGTCCTCCGTGATTATTCATTTATTTCAGGACACAACGGATTTGGTCTATATCGGCCAACGGAAACGAATTGAGCTTGTTCGCTGGTGCAGTGTGCTGTCGTCGAGGGGTCGAGCCGAACGTATAGATATCATTGCTAGGTGAGAGGAGACTCAGCAATCGCGAAGCTGCTCCACTCTCTGTTCAATTTTTTTTCAGGATCATCTTCCCAATCGCCTTCATTTTGTTCAACTTCGCCTACTGGAGTATATACCTGGAAGAGCAGGATTAATAAACGTTGAATATTCAGTGCTTTTACCTGAAAACACCGAATACGTGCTTTCCTGTTATGATCTGATGTTGTTTTTTTTGAAATTAAAATAAAATAAAGGATAAAACTCTTGAAGTGTTAGCGTCGTTTATGAGATGGACCACCCATGTGCGCCAGCTAAAAACTTCACTTCGAACTGACCAGATAATAGCCAGTCTGTGAAAGACTCAAGCGATGTGCACATGAAGAAAGACACCACGAGCAGTCAAAGCCAGGGTCAAGCATCACTTAGCGTGATGTCGCCCTGCCTTTAACAACTATAGCACTGCTAACTTTCGCGCACAACTTTGCGTGCATTCGGGTCCAGCCATATCGTTTGGACAATAAAGTCCCTTTTCAGGGCGAACTCATTCGCTGGAGTGCATTCTTGTTGTGAAACATAAGTTTCAGCTCGAAGCATTGAAAGAAGAAATGAGGAGCCAAAAATGTTCTCCATGGAATCGTCTTCGATGGCTCCTTTAACTTCGAAAGGATCACGTCACGAACTAAGAAGCTAAGACGAATAAGAGTGATGCAACAACACTTTCGAGTACAGCAACCACTTTCCAAGAAATGACACACGCACTAAGGAATTAAATCCTTGGCCGTACATTTGTGAGACCTACAACGTAACCACTCCGCCCTGCTGCTTCAAAGAAGAGCTAATTCGTATCGAATGCTCCCCCTAAAAAGGCTCCGTAACTTTGTTCTGGGGGGTCCGCAGCAGAGAGGACGGTTTCGTTATCCCTTTGCGAAGATCTCTCATTTGGTATAAGCCTGATTTCAAGTGGACTTTTCGACCCACCACCCTTCCCTTCCCCGATACTATGAGCCTCCGCTCAACTAGAGAGCAACCATTCGTGACATTGTTGTGGAAAAAACTTGAGTTTGTCGTCATTAGCCGTGGCCATAATCTCGTGAAAAGTTCAAGCACTGCTCTTTATTCACAACATTGCCTTGAACACCGCACGTTTCCAGAGACTGAAGTGAATTTTCGCTCCTTTTAGCGAAAAAAATTTTGTACCGTAGAGGTCCACGCTGGTCTTCCAGTTTTGCGAGAGTTACAAACGAACACATTTAGCTGACGTGCTGACAAGGGGCTGAAAATGGGCAACGTCCACAGAACCCGATCGAATTGCCGTGTTGTAGCTGAGGAAATCTACTGAGACACTCCTTCCAAAAAGCAGTCATCCTTCTGTCGACCTAAATACGATTTGATGTTTGTTCTGCATAACTATAGGTTGTCACGAATTAGTTGCAGTCTCATTCTTTATTGCTGCTCACAAATCATTCAAACAAAGGCCTTATTGTTCTCTGCCAACAATGGGGTCATATAATAACGGCTTTGCCTCACGTTTTCTCATAGAAAATTCTTCGAGGTCATTGAAACAGTAGAAACATAAAATGTACCAAGTTGGTCTATCCTCTCCGATACAAGGTTTGCTAACCTGCAGACACCTATCAGAGCACACTTACAATCCTCATCCTTACGGACTGTCGGGGCATGTCAGTGCGGCTGCTGTTTGGCGCGGTAGCGAAGTCGTTTCTGCATCAACTGTCGGGCGTGTCAGCCAGTAGGAGTGCGCACACTTGTTGAAGCGGGCAAGTGACATTACTGTATTATATCCTTCGTATTACTCGTTTTCTACCACTTTTTGTCGCATACGCGTTTCAACAAAAAGGCTGAGAACGGCTTCAACAGTGTGCGCACTCCTACTGGCTGACACGCCCCGACAGTCCGTAATGATGAGGACAGTACATTGGGTTTGGATGGAAATCCCCTCGGATAGATTATAATTGAAAAGAAATTAGAAAACCTTTCGAACCTTCTGGCCCCTGTTACTGTACAGTGTTCCCGGACCTTTTAATAGATGTTTACACAGTAAGTTTATTCCAGAGATTAGAGTTCCTCTATGACTGATGTAAGTTTTCGACCCGCTCTGAATTACGAATTCCACTTTGTCGGATTTGATTTACACTGCGAAGCATAATCATAGTTCCACCCATGAATCTCACAAAATCCCGTCTTACACGACGTTTTCAAAAATGCCCCATACAGAAAATGTGGTAATTGCCAAAATTTGAAAAAACAATTTTTTTCGTCAATTTTTTCAAAAATGGTCGTTCTGACAACGCAGCAAAAATATAGTTCCACCCCATATTTTCCGGCTGCATCTCATTTTTGTTCGGTGAAACTTCTCATCATTATGACTTCTTGCCTCTTCTAGGCTATGGCAAGTGGAACTTCATTAATGGACCTCGAAAAAGGACAGATTATCGCAAAGAAGACTCAAAAACTGTCGAACCGTCGAATGGCGCGGATTCGGGCCGCACTCATCATGCTATCAACAATTTTTTCCAAGGGACCTACAGGATATTGAGCTGAGAAGAGCTCTGGACATCCTCCTTTGCTGCCCGATCGGAATAACCGCCGTATCCTTAGGAAAGCATCCAACTCTGCAGTGTCGTGTCGGGAAATCAAGACATCTTCGGAGGTTAATGTCTCGGAGAATACTGTTAGGCGTCTCTTGAAAAACTCCCGAGTTCACCCATAGGAGGAATATGAGTTACGTACTGTTTCTAACGAAAAACCATCAAAACCTAATTGGCTTTGCGTTGCCGAATGAAGTGAGGTTGGCTTTTGGCTGCGGTGCCCTACTGCTTGTCTGTAGTGTTTTTTTCAGTTTTTTTTTCTCGCGGTCGTGTTTTCTGATGAGAAAAATTCAACTGCGACGGCTCCGACGAAAACCGATTCCGCTGGCACGACCTGAGGGAAGACAAGTTTCATTTTTCCGGGCGGAACTTCAGTGGATGTGGTCTCATGGTCTGGGCTGCCATCGCATGAATGGAACGTCTGAAACTGCGCTCCGTATGAAAAAAGAAATGATTTCTTTCCGTCATCTAAAAGTCATGCGACAACGTCTCCTTACTTTCTGGCGTAGAAATCAGCAAGAAAGTCCTGTTTTCATGCAAGATAATGCACCAGTTCATGACAGTCGAAGCACTCGAGCGTGATTCAGTTGTCACCAAACCGCTCTTTTGCCCTGGCCAGCGAGTAGCCCCGACTAAAACCCAATCGAGGATGAGGGGCTTCATGGTGCGTATGATCCATGAGAGTAATGCACAATTCCACAAGGTCCGTGAGCTTAGGAGTTAATCATTGGGGCAGTCGGCCGACAGCCTATTAAAATCTCTAATCGTATTTTCCAACTTAATTGGAGAAATAGAGTTCCAGTAGATTACTGGATCAAAATTTACTCATTTTATTGTGCACTTGTTGTTGGAATATTCGATTTGTTCGGTGGAACTATATTTTGCTTCGTTGTCAGAACGACCATTTTTGAAAAAATTGACGAAAAAAAATTGTTTTTTCAAGCTAGAGTTTGGTGTTGGCATGCGAATTGGTATTGGTAATTACCACATTTTCTGTATGGGGCATTTTTGAAAACGTCGTGTAAGACGGGATTTTGTGAGATTCATGGGTGGAACTATGATTATGCTTCGCAGTGTATGTAACAAACGGGCCTAATGTACAGAGATACACCGCACTGTCCCGTCAGTATGAGCATCTCGCAAACTGGTCTATCATTTTGAAGGAAAAGAATCTTCTGGCTATTGGAAAGGAAATACCACGAAAAGACACGTCATAGAAGGTGATAATAGACTGTCAATAAGATTTTGGAGGACACAACGATCGCGCAAGCGCACTGGGTATATAAACCACGTACCCCCCTGAGCGCACGAATCCTCATGACTTGATTTCTTTTGCGATTGATTGTTCCTAAGTAAATTTTCGCAAGTGAGAGCATGTGGTCGCACACTTTCTTCTGTTCACCTTCCTGATCACCCGTTTACTCTCACCTCTTTCAGATTTTATTCATGTCTGATCAGTTACTGCTCAGTAGCGTTACTTTGTTGTTTTTTATTATCGTATGAACCATCGTCTAATAACCCAAGTTTGAGGTAACTATCACTTTCCTGTCCACCACCCCATAATTAATTCACGGCGCCTACGGACCAACTATAAGGAATCCGGAAAGACACTCGAGTTTTACAAAGCGTGTTTTGTTTCTAAAGTGCAATTTTTGCGATTGTAGCTATTTCTCGTCCCTCACATCAAGTGCGAACAAAACGGCCGGGTCAGTCTATCTGAAAAAGAAGGGACTTTTTGTAGGTGAGGTATTGTCACATTATTTCAAAATACTCGGATAAAACTGACACTGAACATTCTCTGGGATTCTCGCAGAGATTTCCTTCCAAGTGAACGCTTTTTCGAACTTGAAGTGAAGGTATCATAACAAACAGCTATTTGAAGCTCATGAGCGGAACGCTTGGAAACTTAACAATAAGTGCTGATCTGAGACAGAGCATAGCAGGCAATAAAGCCACTCAGGTCGAGAAATACGAAGAGAAGACTTATGTACTCCTTTGAGAAAGCCACAACCTCAGCACTAAAATACAGGCAAACTGTGGGATTACAGCAGTCCTCAACAGCGCAGGATGGTCATCTACAGGAGTCAGGTGCGCAAAAGTTAGCTGTGATTCCAATACCTATTTTCAGTAGGAAGAGTTAGCGAATCAGAGAACACTTGAGCACTTTATAGTGCGAACATGCACAGGAGATTTTCAAATATTCAGAAGTTCAATTACTTGTTGCAGAGTTTGAAAGGCGAACCAAAAGAAGTAATAAAGTATTCTAGTATAATATCCTGTAATCTGAAAATAAGTCGAAAAAATACGAACTACAGGTGGGCTAAAGCGGGTCGCAGCGAGAGGCCCCCACACAAGTGAACAGCAAAAGCTGCCAGAATATTTTTTTGCTTTTACACTCGGTCAGAGCAAAAAGAGCCATCTCAAACTGCTCATTAAAAGAGAATTAGAAAATTGTAGCGAAAATAACAGGCAAAATCGTCAGAGAAAGGATTTACAGCAGCGCGTTGATACAGACCATCAAGAAGATGGCTGGTCTGTAAGGAAGCTGT